TTTGCCCCGGAACGAAGACAAAAAATAGACAGGAAGCGGGAGGGACAGAGCGCTAGCTCGAGGGCGTACTTGGCAGTACCTTGAGCAATTTAGGAGTCAGAACCTTTTTACTTTGAGGTATCAACACGCTGGCCGAACAAATGCAGTCAATAATATCGAGACGATGGGGCTCGGCCCGTACTTGGTCAAGTTCGTTGAGCTGTGATGTAAAAGTCTCGAGCCTGAAAGGGAGCAGTCGGCCAGCAGCGCCCGTGTAAGGTAGTGACTGCATGTTGTCGTTCGGAAAGACGGATACAACAGGCCCCTGTGATTTTAGAGTGACGGGTAGAATCGTGGGGATTGGCTGTGCTCTGCATATTGCTCGATGTTGTATTCGTAAACGATTTAAGGATGGCCTTGAGATGCGCGCACTGAGGTCTGAAGGGCAACAACCGATGGTTCACCGGCCACCCCGGTAGCACGATCCATCGTGGGCGTTGACCTCAATTCAAAAAATGGAAGATGGTAGTGGACTGACTGCTCAGACGTCGCGCATCTCCATCGCCCTCTGGTATCGTGTTGTCCTCGACTCGGCCTCCGTATCGTATACTGAAGTCAGGTACGGCGCGGAATAAGGTTATGTCAAGCCATCCCGACCTGAATCATGCAGCTAGAACGGGGAATACCCGAACCCAACCATAGCCCGTCGGCGATGGAGAGAAAGGGTGCCGGAGCCTAGGACACGAGAGAAAGTCCCAGCTATTAAAGAACTTGATGAGTTATATTACATTATGCTGCTAATCACTCACTGCAAGTGGAGAAGTCGCACATATTGGCAGGCACGGTCTAGACGCTGGCGATGGCGGAGGGTTTCGTCCTTCGCATTCTGCTTCTTGGTATGGTCTTTCTAATTGTTCAGATGCTACCACAATCGTGATGGTTGCCAAGCCGGTGGACGATCAATGCGAGAGAGCTTGCAAGTGTCGAGGTTTCATGGCATGGGCCCGTGAGCAGTTGGCAGGCCGCAGCAGCGTCCACAGGTACCTAGTAAGGTAGGTATCCAAGTGGAGGTTGAGCCCGTTCCGGGCATTGCGGTGAAATGTCGACTGGCTCGTGCCCTGAGCGCCAAGTCTTCTGACTAAGCCCGAGCACGAGCCGGGCGGAGGAGCAGGTGCCGTGGGGTCCGAGGCATTCACGACCTAGGGTCCCGCCGAGTCCACCGGTCCACGGGTCTGCGGATGTTTGCCATAGGTAAACAAACAGATAAGACTCGGGATGGATTACGGGAGTCATAAGAAACAACATCGACTTGAGAGGGTAGGGTGAGGTAATCACCCATGCACATGCGCAACCTGTTCTGGGATGTGGGAGTAACAAGTAGATGCAAAAGCGACTCTCTAGCACCCTTGCGATTCAAATATCTCGAATGCATTTTTCTAATAGTGAGCATGTCAATAATTCCCTGCCTAGATTTCTCGTAGGCATTTGTAGTTGGACACTTTTGAACAGGCTGATGACAACCCCAGCCCGTATCAAATCGACCATGACGTCCTCCTGACCCGGTGATATCATTTCCCGTCAAAACGAACAAAGGCAATAGTCACGCCCAACAAGGCTCTTGAGGTATGGGGACAGTGTTGGCCCTTCCATGGCAGGAAACCTGCGAAATCTACCCGAGTAGCTACTTGGACTGAGGTGGAGGGGAAAGGTGGTTACTGTCGTAATAACACCTGCCTACTTACTTACTTAAGCTACCTACCTTACCTACCTAGTCAATGGAGAAGGAGGCACGGGAGGGTGCCAGTGAGGGAGGCCATATGACCTGAGCAACCACAACCAAGCTGAGTTGGCAGCCCTCCAGCGGCAAGATGGCCAACTTCACCCAATGGAAAATCGCCAATGCCAGACACATAGCCCTTCGAAGGCAGGCTACGTTAGTTGGTTAGCTGATGATGGGGGGATTTGTGAAGGATGAGGACCTTACCTATCGTACCCCGGGTGTCACAGTGTGCATGTTGCAAGTTGAATACGGCATTTGTCGTCATTTTGCGAGCACGCCGCATGCATTGAATGACATCAACCAGTAAAAGTAAGGTAGGTAGTGTAGGTAGGCGCGGACAGGACAGGACAAGGCCTTTCTCTATTGAGGAACCCCGAGACAGCTGGCGGTACCTTAGCAGCCGGCGACGCTGGCGGGGATGGCGAGACCGGGTGACTCTTTCCAGTCCACCAGTCAGCCTGCAACGCCGGATGACTGTCACAGACTCACAGTGTCCTCCCCACGCCACGCCCCTTCCGGAATCCCTCTGATTGGGAGGAACCATGGTTTCGGCCCAAAGCAGAGGAAAGTGCAGCAGGGACGAGGGGAAGTATTATCTGCATTTGACTCCGCACGTTCTGCATTCTGCAGCACTCGCAGGCTTGCAGTCCCAAACAATGGAACTCGCGACTCGTCATACCTTATCCGTACCTATCCGTAGGTAGGCCATTTCATCTACAGGTTCCACGTTACCGTACCTCAAGGTACACCCCCCCTCCATCCATCGCGTCCACACGCCCCGAGCTTTATCATGGACCGTACCTACCTTATCAACGTATCAAGTGCACTATCATCCAGCTTTATCGCCCGTCTGTTCGCTAAGCCGAGACGATGAGCCCCCTTCCCGGTCAAGAGGCCACCACCAGCCCGTCTGACACTCATCTCGCATACCTACATCATCTTGCTCGCGCCTGGTCCTGCTTTTACAGCCCCAGGCGTGCGGTATGCCTGCATCGCGTCCAACCCACTCCGTCACGCCCTTTCCGTCTCATCTGAAGTTGGAACTCAGCCTGGCAAGCTTGGCTCCAGTCTCCAGATCCAAAAGTTGGGACACGCGCGCCTCCCCCATCCTCTCTGAACCATGCGCACTGTGGCTCGCCCTACCTACCTTACCTCCCTCCCATTGCCTTATCTGTCTTCCTTGCCTTACCTCAAGGCGCCTTACTAGCCGTTGCCAACTATATCACATCCGCCATCCCGCGACCTTTGTCCATGTGAATTCCGTCTTTCTCTACCTCTTCATCTGTTTCCTGACAACTCCAACACGAACCTGGTTCTACCTTACTACGAATACCTGTATCTGTATGCTCACCCCACCCTGCCTGTACCTTATTCGACATTACCAGCGTCCGTCCAGAACTCGATCTTGACGCTACCTTCCATCTCGAATCCTTGTTATTATCCTCGGCAACTCAGCCCTTCAGCTTTGTCCGGTGACTCACCCGGCCACTTCCGTCCGCCTCGGAGTGATTACCTCATCCAACCTGCCTCGTACTGCCCGGACCCTCCTCCTTCCTTTGGCCTCAGTCTCCTAGTACTAGGTAGCCACCCTCCCGAGCCAGTCACCGAAGCACTCACTGCTCTTTCACTTGCCCTCGCATCGACTATATCTACTTGTCCCCTAACCCCTCCTCCAAACTCTTCCGACACCCACTCTATATTCGAGGCTCTCTCCAGCCAGGCAAACGTTACCTTCACCCAAAGCGTAAAGCGGTTTGACACCTGCTTACCTATTACGAATATCGACACCTCTGTCAACCTAGACACCATGGCCACTTCAATCGAATCTCCAGCCCAGTTCGAACGCGACCTGCGAAGCGCCAACCAAGATTTCAAACGATCAAAGGATTCACGGTCCAAGTGGTCCAACGGAGCTCGTCCCCTGGCTGGGTGCCATCTCGACTGGTATACTCTTGACTCTGTTGGCGGAACTGAGCAACAGCGAGCCATGACACGGCCTCGGGCCAGGAACAGTGAGACGTACGCTTCCCCCCTGAACGATTGTAACTGTATATTCTAGCAGCACACCTAATACTCGCAATAGTTCTCACTACAAGAAGCATATGCAGAACTTCAGCAAGTTCCGGTCACACTCAGAGTTCCCGCAAGGACGGCTGCGCTCGGCAGCTCGCGCCAAGGAACAGATCAAGGATCCTCTCAGCCGCTCCGTCATGAACATGGCGCCATCGCAAGACATGTATGGAGACATCGCTGCCACTGAGGACTGGAAGTACAGCTTTGATCGTGTTGAAAGCCCCGGCCGACCAATGACTCTGGACATATTTGTCAAGACGGCGACGGGTCGCGAGACGGAGCGTATGGTCGAGAAGGAGTACGAAATTCTTAATGAGAATGGTCAGGTTCTCAAGGGCCGCAAGGCACGCCAAAACCTACGCCAGGAAGGCGGCCGCGTTTCTGAAGAAGATGGCTTCCAGCTTGTCTAAAGTCGGCAGGTGGACGAATCACGCCCGTGAATGACTGTACGAGACGAGGACTGACTGGCATTATTTCTGAGAATTCGGTTACCTGGGCGTTGGTGGATTGAGCTTGGCATGCATACTACCCTACCTCGATCATCAAGCGGATCAGGCGGTGCCTCAACACAATTTGGGCGTGTAAGGGCGTTTCTACTCGGCGTTGGGTTGAGGGGATAGCGTATTGGCATCACCTCGGTTAATAGGCATACGCATCGCAATGATGACAATGATGAATACTAGCGCCTTCGAATTGTGCTCCTGTAGACAGCTGCCGCGCTTCCGTGATTCGTTGTCTTGTAGCTCTATGGTGCGGCTCTGTACACTTATGGATCAAGTCTCCCGGCTGAGCATCGGGGTGGGAACTCCCGACTCTGCAGCCGGCTCCAAGGTCTGTTATTATTTCCGGTTTGCCTCAAAGGCAGCAGGATGAGGGTGGACAAGGCGATTCGCAAGTTCGGAGCCGGCCTTCCATTGTTTATGATGAGATGGGGCTGTTGGTGATGATCCTTCGAGGCAAACTGACGCCAAAAGCGGCTTGGTGCTTACGATCCGAGGTCCAATGGAAAGGTAGGTTTCTGTACGGGCACAATACGGTAGTTATTGTCTCTGTACAGTTACGCGGATACATGAGCGGCAACCCACTATCCAGGGCCGACCGAGGACCGTGAGCAGTGGCTGATGCATGCGGCGGGCAGGGGCAGGCTCCATTCGCCCTCCGCTGCGGCATGGGGGCTGGAGAAGAATGGTGGTGCCTAATTCACGCCCCAGTCTAACATTTCTGAGGTGATTTCTTTTTGCAGGGACTTTGGTCTTCACCTTTCATCAGGTTCTGGCACTAAGGTAATACTTAATAATGAGGCCAGGTGCCGGCTACTTTTGTATTCAGAGGGGGGGAAACTGATGACCATGCAGGTCTCTTCGTCACAATTCCCCTCTCCCTTTACCGCCTTATTGTTCTACTCCCAAATCTTCTCTTCACCGTGCCGCTTCCCTCTATGAAATATTCCGAATAGTCTCTAATTACCCTAACGTTGACTCTGGCTTGCCACACAATCGGCCACCTTCTGCAGTTCATCCGATTGAGCTGAGTGACCAGGCTACGCCTTGTACTAACCCACGCCCACGAGCCATTTCAACACTCCGCAAGACTTGACGATGGCTTCAACGCTGGGTGATGGGCGATCAGCGGTGTTGCACTCTCGATCACTACCAGCGCTGCCAACGGATTTTTCGGGCCCCTCGGAGTTGCCAGCAGAGCTTCCACCTTTGCCGCTGCCTCCAATGACAGTGAGAGCATCACCGCCGCCGCCGCCGCCGCCGCCTTCTTCGGCACCGGTGCCGACATCCAGCATGAACGCAGCATCGTCCTCTTTTGTAACAGAAAAGGCATTACTGGCAAGTCGTTCTATTGATGATGACCTGACAGCCGACAGCGCCAGTACCTCGGAGCCCCCACCATATTCAAGCCCCTCCAACAGCTCGGAGACATCCGTTTCACACGATTCCCAAGGGATACACGGAACTCACTATTATACCGGTCTACCCAGGCTGGATTACAAGCTTTACTCACCGCCAAATTTCACTCTATCGCCCGATTGTACCACCTTGTCGTCCAAGGCAGAGTATCTGACAGCGAGCGCCAGCGCGCTGATAGGGCTCATCAGATCCCAGGCGAGCATCCCACCCAAGCCGTTGATACATATCAAAGGCAACCGTGGTCGCACTATTGATTTTGACTTCAAAATGAACCTTATGGGCCTGTTGGTGGCAGACGACATGGGCAAGCGTCTGGACTACATTCGGTGTGTTGCGCCGGGCGAGGTCGCGTTCCGTGGCGGCGCGAAGCCCGATGTCCTCCCCGAGGTGGGTGATAGGGAGCTGGATGAGTGGTGTCGCCGATTCATCGAGGACCCGGCGCCCGTCAAGAGTTTTGGTGAGTTCGCCTTGCGTTACACGGTATGCGACTGGTTGAACTATGTCTAACGTGAAGCCCTCGCCTGGAAGCGCTCGAACGAGTTGTTGCCAATCTAGACACGCTCTATATTGAGGGCCAGATTCGTAGTTTGATCGCCTCAACTCAGTACAAAGGACAGATCAACATCTCGTTTCCCGTGACGCATGCCAAGGTCAAGGTCAAGAGTGCCGAGAAGCCGAGCAAGCTGTATATGGGCATGAAGAACCTTTTCACAAGCAAGCACAAGTACGAAGTGGTGCAGTCGGTGTGGCCCTTTGCGACGGCCAGGAACGGGGAGGAGGGTCGGAGGTGCATGGTGCAGAGTGAAGAAGTGTGGTGGCGGGTAAGTGCAGCTTCCCAAATGACATGCAGTGCCCTTCTGGAAGCTCTGGTCGCAATTATTGTCAACCTTGAGTTACTGACGATTTTTCTTGCAGGAATGGAGAGACTCAATCAAGTATGCTATTGCGCAGAAAAGGCAGAACGGGGCGTACGTGACGAACGAGGACAAGCTGGAGGCTCTTATGGAGGGCAAGGGCAAGGGCGTGGCGTCCATCGACTGGGGAGGGACAGGACCCGAGCTTGAGGAACACGTCGTTTGAGACTCTCGCAGGAGTCGTGACGCATGACATCTCGCTTGGCCGGGGAATGGAGTGCGATTTTGTATGATTGATGATACCCAAATTTGGCGTTTGAGCCATATGGAGATTGTGTACTGCCTTGCCTAAGAATGGCTGATACGTGATCAGTTCTCGCGATCTATCTCGATTCTGTAGGCATTCTTCGAACAAAGTCAAATCCAGTAACTCAAAATTGAAAAGTGAGCAACAGGCTCCCCGGTATCGATTTTGATTGGCATTTTCAGGATACTTGTTTTTGGTACATTTTCAAGATATCCATGTGAATGCTCACAAGGCAGAAGGCAGAAGGTGAGAGAAAGAAAGGGAAGGTTAACGAGTGCAAGAAAAACACTCGCGGTGACATGAGATCGGGTTTGATTGAGTTTTTTATTACCAGTGAGTATCATCGCAGTAAATGCATACCTGACTTGGCCCGTCTTGCCATGATATCTAGCTGATATGAGCCTCATTCTACGCCAAGTACGAAGTTAAGCGTGGTAAGGCAGAGAGGGCTTGGGCTTGCAAGGAAGCAGCAATTGGCAAATTGGCAGGGTCTCATGCAGCTTGCCTCTTCCGGATGGAATAACCGACGACAGTGAGTCACCGCCCCGCATCGCCCCAGACCTGCCGCCTGCGCCTCTTAGGCCCTTCCGAATACCTACAGCAGTCAGCAGTCTTGACGCTCTGGGACATGGGCAAATATGCGATCCCAGTCTCTCGATCCATTGACTTGGGATCAACCCTTATGCCTACCTCCTAGTCAGCGCATCGAGATCAAAAGTCTCGGCGAACGGATACACGGTAGAGGTCAGTGGAAAGCGGGACGAGACTGCCCGACGCAGTGACACACTCGGCCAGTGACTCCCACTCCCCGCAATTGCCTTAGCCTCAGCCCCGGTTACTCAACGAAGACATTCCCACAGTAATACATACTCCGTAAATGGGAAGCTATCGTAGAACTGCAGGGGTAGCCAGTCTCGTTCCATACTGAACACACCAATGGGATGCGGCCAAGAATCGGTTTGATTCAATTACCATGTTGGACTCAGCCTGCACATCTACGCATACACACCTACACTTACACGGACGTTGCCTCTGGCTGGAAGAGTCGAGTTTTCTCACTCGGGCCACTCAATACAAAAGCCATCGCGGGTCTTGTTGCTTTTTATTACATGTAGACAATCTCGATCGTCAAGTAAACATAACATCCTCGTACAATCCCGCTGGGCCCACTACCAATCGACACAATAATTCTACTCCTTTCCTATCAGATTGAGCTCGCCGCATATCAACCCATTTACTATCTACACATCTATCCGTTCACGAAAACTACTGGCAATCAAAGCCGTTACGGGGACCAAGAGACCAACGCCCATGGAGTTCAGCGTTCCACCCACACACGACACGGCTCTTTGCCTCATTCCACCAAGGGAACAGTGGCCATCAATTGATCGTCTTCGTTTCCAAAATGACAAGGCATATGCAAAATGGCCACCTCACGTCAACCTCGTTTACCCATTCACGAGGTCTGCAGATTCGGAGTCACTGCATCAAGCCTGCGATGCCATTGTCAATTCCCTCAAGGCTCGTCAGGAGACTGGTGACCTCGCTAGCATACCCCTTTCCCTCGACTCACCAGACTATTTTGAGAATAAGCACGGCAGCACCCTGTTTCTGTGTGACAAGGACGAAAAGAGGAATAGTCGCCTTGCCTCTTTACGCACCACGGCTCTCACAGCTATCGGCCAGACGCGCCTTGCTCCATACCACATGCACATGACGATTGCTCAGTGCGAGGATACAGCAGGACCATCGAAACTCAAATTCCTCCTTGAGAAGCTACGACGCCTACCACCGGTCAGTTGGGAAGCCACCCAACTAGCCGTCCTAGTTCGTCTTTCTTCCGGTCAAATGAGCCTCTGGGGTCTCATTGACCTTACTTCGCCTTCTCTGAGTCAATGCGATGATTCCTTTGGATTATCTCCCAAGTTGGCCTCTGCTGTTATCCCTCAGCAATCATGGAAATTCTCCAGCCAAGAGGTGGGGTGGCGGCCGGTCTCTTCAAATACATATTCACATCACCCAGAGATCAAGGCAGTAGAGAACCTCATCGTCGCCAGCTGGAACGTTTTGGCAGAGTTCGAATGGCCCCCATCTCGTAGCAGATACCCCGTCATCATTGACAACCTGCTCGCACGAAATGCCGTTGCAGACATCTTGGTCCTCCAAGAAGTGACGGACGACTTTTTACCATTCTTACTCGGTGACGACAGAATTCGCAAATTGTACCCCAATGCATCCTACGGGTCTCCTGACGACCCTGATGCCGGTCCATTACCCAACATACTCAATCATGTGGTCCTTAGCAAGCACCCGTTTTCATGGGAGTATCTTCCCTTCGTACGCCCGCACAAGGGATCATGCATAATCAGCTTCGGTGATCTGGCACATGGCGAAGGAGAGGAACCTACTTCTCCTTTAGTTCTGGCAACTTGTCACCTGAGTCATGGCCTAACAGACGGCGCCGTGGTTGCAAAGGAAAGGTTAGCTATAGAATACCGCCTAACCTGATCTTCTACCTGTACTAAAATGTCGTCTTTAGAGAACTCCAGGTGTTACTAAGTCACCTCGGGTCCAAATACGCTTCGCATCAATGGATCATTGCGGGTGATTTCAATATCACAACATCTTCCTACACTATCGACGCCGCCGTCAAAAAGGGGGCCATCACGGTCCAGACAGAGAATGTCCTCCGAGGCATCGAAACAACTTTGGCAAAGGCCGAACTCCTCGACGTATGGATGGTCTCGCGCATCGAGGCTGGCGTGAGTGATAACTTCAAAGGGGACCTCACCCAGATGTTCGAGGGCGAGCAAGGAGCAACTTTTGACCCTACTGCAAACCCCCACGCCAGCAAGATGGTTGGCACCGGATTGGGTAATCGACCGCAACGGTACGACCGTATTTTGGTCAAGGGCACCTGCCCTTTCCAGATATCTCGCTTCAACATGTTCGGCTTCGTCACTGGCGACAGCGAGACCGGACATGAGCCCCTGTATCCGAGTGATCACTGGGGTGTTCGATGTCTCTTGCAGCGCTCTAACGTAAAGGATGCCGTCAGCGATGCGCGGGCGATTCCTATCAATCTTAAAAGAGCACCAGACGGGTTGTCAGATACTACAGAACTTACTAAGTGTCTTGAGAATCTTGAGGTGTTTCCCTCGGCGGAAGATGAGGCAGCTCGGAATGAGGCTATTCGATTGCTTCGTCAAATTTTGATCGAGTCCGACCAGCCGTCCGTGGACAACAAGCGAGGCCGCCCGACGATTGTGCTCGTCCCCGTAGGATCCTATGGTTTAGGCACGTGGTCCAGTAACTCCGATATCGACTGCTTCTTCATCGGGTCCATCAGTCCCCGTATCTTCTTCACTCTGGCGAGGCAAAGGCTGAGAAAATCAGGCATCCCTGGCATTCGGCTTCTGAGGAAAGTCAAAGCCAAGACTGGCACAATGCTCGAGGTGGAGGTTCACGGCGTGAGGTGCGATCTTCAGTATTGCCAGGCACCCAATATCGCGGACGAGTGGCCTGACGTTCTGAAGCGTTCCGCGTCAGATCCGGCCTTCAGCTTGTCTGCCCAGACACTGCTGAAGCTGAAGCCCGCGAGAGATCTATTCTATCTCCAGCGATCCGTTCCAGATCTGGCCCAGTTCCGACTGAGCCACCAAGCTATCAAGACTTGGGCCAAGGCGCGCGGAATCTACGCTGCTAAGTTTGGGTATCTTGGGGGCATCCACTTGACCGTCATGTTGGTCAATGTCTGCAAGGTGCTTGTACACAATGGCGGCACCGTTTCTGCTGCTGATATCATTACGACCTTCTTCGAGCATTATGCGCGGTTTGACTGGCAAAAGGACATGGTATTTGACCCATTCTTCCACAAGAACCTCAGATATCATCGAACAAGCAGAGAGGCCCTGGTTTTGGTCGGGTGGCACTCGCCAACGCTTAATACGGCACTCAACGCCTCCGTCCCGACTGTCAAGATTATCTCAACAGAGCTCAGCCAAGCTAACAAGTTGCTATCTGCTGACGGAGCAACCTGGGAATCGTTGCTACCGGTGCCAGAGCCCGGCCGAGATAACGTCATGACGCCTAGCGCCGCTGACTTCCTCACGTCGTTCCGGTCCTTTGTAGACTTGCGTGTACATTACTGGGGAGCATCTCTAGAGCGTGGAAGTAGGCTCATTGGCTGGCTGGAGTCTCGATGTGCCTCTCTCCTTGTCGGTAAGTAGCCTGCGAACCCTGTCCCCATTTCTACGTGCTGCTTGCTTGCTGACAACACCTATAGATATAAACAGGAGAGTCCCGCAGCTTTCGGCGAGAATTTGGCCCGCGAGATTTGTCGACGCATCTACGTGCGACCCCCGGAACACCCAGGGCGATTACCAAGGCTCTTACCTCGTCGGTCTGGAATGGACGGAACCGGACGAGAAGCCAGACCGGGGCGACCTGGAAGTTGCACAAAGCAATCTCAGGGCTGTTTTGCAGCAGTTCGAGAAGATGATTCTGAGTGACGAGAAGTACTTCGATTCCACTACAGCGTGGTTCAGCGCGAGCATTGTCAAGAAGAATGAGCTACAAAATTTGCGATTGGATGATCGCGAATGGGGTGTGTACGTCGACGGCGATGACGATTCGGATACAGAAGACGAGGATGACACCGAGGACGAGAATGAGGAAGAACTGGCCGCGCAAGAGAGGCTCGCCGCCGGGAAGCTAAGCAAGAAGGCAAAAGCAGCAAAACAACGCTCAGAAACAGCCAATCCGAAGCCCGAGGGGATGGGCAAGTTTCGCACGGCGCTTGATGTGTTGAACCGACTGCGATGGGATCCCGATATTGACAGCAACGACTACGTTATTGGGTACGAGGACAGATTCCTGGGACCACAGGAGAAGGCACTGTCGGCCTGGAAGAGCGAACAGACGCACGAGGAGTTCATCCCTCAGCATCGAATCTTGTGGTTCAAGCGCGGCAGCGACGGGGTGATTGTATGGCACAGGTCAGAGCGCATCGATTTGCTCTTTAAAAAGGCTTGATTTTGGCGCCTGGGCTTGTGCTGAAGCCGGTAGCCAGATTTGGGAACATATGGATATGGTGCTTCCTACGCAATGTAAACCCTTCGTGTGGATAGTTACATTGTTAGTCAAGGCTGCCTTCGGCAGAAGATAACCATACTTGTCAAGGCCTCTCGTGTTCCTGATGAAGCTCTGTGCCTTCCCATTGTGCGCTGCTATAGTTGCAATTGCTAACACCAAGACCGCTCCGATTCATCTTGAGAACGAGAGGAGAGATGCAATGTAATGTTTTGAATGTACGAGAAGCATTGCCAATCATGACTTGGTATCCGCCACCGAAACGCCCTGCCAAACTTCCAGAACAATGTTAAATAAACAAATGGCCGAGCAACCAGCCGGAAACCGCAACCGTGAATAACTCAGCGGGTGAGATGTATGGGTACACGAGGTCCTTTCAATAGAGCGTCATGAAGACAGCGGCAATTGCAGACTTGTCGTATTTGACATATTTGCCCTTGCCCTTGTCGACCTCGTGATAACGGTCCCAGAACCGGTTGTAAAGGGGTTCGAGCATCTGCTGAATATCTCTTGCAAGCATCTGGCGCACCTCCCTTTCCATATTGTACGTCTTGTGCCGGCTCACCATCTCATCAAAGGAGGCGTTGAATGCCTGGAACTTGCTCTTGATGTTGTCCTTGTCCTTGCTACTAAGGCCCTTGAGAATTGAGGCAGAATCAGCCTGTCCGGACTGGGGTCTTGCTTTGCTCGTGTGGATGACATCGAACAAGTGTGTTGAGACCTCTTTGCAATCCATCGTGTACATGCCTGTCGCTTTCTTGCGCCATTGGTCTAGCATGCTCATCCGACCCTCGAGGAGTGGTGCGAGGTCAGAATCACGAATCATTCGTTCGATGATGACAACGCTGTTAGCCAGGAAGACGCCGATGACAGCTCGGCCACCCTTGAGGACCATCTTGGCCTTTGAGTCCAGTCCTGCCATGAGCATCTCGACTGTGTCTGAACAGTAGTGTGAGAAGATTTCTTTCCCGTCTGCACCAATATCAAAGGAAGCGAGACTGGGGATTGCGTCGGTCGATCGTCCATCGGCTGCAGCATTCGATCTCCATCCCCCATCTCCTAGAGAGAACATAATACTGGAGACGGGCCGTAGGAATTCAACCATGGTCTGCAGTCGCTGCATTGTGGCCGATACAACGGGTATCGGCGCACCGTCTTGTGGAAGTGTCTGCATGCCAGCAATCTTTCGTTTCGTGTCATCCAACAGTTCTCCCAATGAAAGCTTAGCAGTCTCTCGCACAGGCCTAAGGGCTGAGGCAAGTGAAGACTTTAGCTCGCCTGTACGCGTCTCCAGGTTGCTTGAGAGGCCAGACATGATCTCGGTGATCTCGTAGGCGAGGTAGCAGTCTGTGTCCAAATGTCCCTTGATGTGGTTATTCAGTTCGCGAAGAGTACGTGCAAGTTCAGCCATAGCGCTCTGGCACGTGGCTTGGAAAAGGGGGCCCCAATCTTCACGGGTGAAGATACTGCAAATGTTGTCGTACTCGGCCAAAAACGCGCCCTCCATGGCCTGCGCGTATGTACCGATGCCGTTGGTGCCTGCGCGGTAGATGGCATCGGGGTTTTTCTTCTTCGTCGTGTTGACGCTGGCAGCAGCCAGATTGGCCAAGGTGGAGGAAAGATAGGGCCCGCGTACTTCAGCATAAATCTTGGCAATGGTCGAGTCTTGTGGGGCAGCAGCGGCACCAGCATTCTGGCGATGGGTGCTTGAGATGTACGAGTTGACTAGGCCGAGGCGTGTCACCTTGTCTTGGGACAGTACAGGGAATGGCATATCTTTGGTGATGTAGTGTAGCGGTTCGATCGATCGTGGGGTTTCTCCTCGCAACAGTCTATCGAAATGGCCCTCGAGCTGAGAGTTGCCTGACTTGATTAAGCGGACAAGCTCAGCCATTGTCTGTTGGTTTGCCCGGAGGTTGGAGGCCTGCATGTTTTCAAGCGACTTGGAGAGGCGCTTGATTGAGGCGAGGTAGTTGGAAAGACCAGCCTTGTCCGGGCCGGCACGTATGATCTGTTCTTCGTCATTCTTACTATCGGCGGGCTGACGGAGGCGTTCGATGGCTGCGAGGACAGAATCGATGTCTGCGAGTGAGGGAGCCAAAGTCAGCTGAAGCCCTGCTAGGCATGAGCGAGAATAGACCTACTGTTGCCCAAGACCTGGAGCTTCTTCGTTTCTCCACTGAGAGGACCTGCTACTTCTTTGACGCTCTTGCCGGTGGACTCCAACCTTCCCATGCATGCTTGGATCTTCTTGGTTAATTGAGCCGTCTTCTCGAGTCGCGAGTTGAGCACATCGACCTCTGCACGAGCTTCTTCGTCAGCATGGCGACTGGTCGCCGGCCCGACAGACATGGTGTACGTCCTAACAGCTGATACTGCTATAGCACTTGCAAGTTGCGGCCAAACGTGGTGAAGCCAAGGAGTGTCGAAATTGGAGACCGCGGGGAATTGAAGTGTAGGACCGGACCGTGGTCAAGCGCTGTGAAGTCCGTGGGAGATCGAGAACCGGACGAAGTAACGATTGCGCAAGTTGCAATATCGCGTCACCGGTGTTCAATCCCGCGCGCCTTAGGAAGGATTACCCACGAAATCGTGAGGTGGCTGGCTCAAAGAAGGTCGAGTGGTCTTCGAGGATACATTGGCAGGCGACTGGACGTGCGGAGCGAGAGCTTGGTGCGGGAGTGGGACGGTAAAGAGAAGGCGCGTTGTACTCTTGCGGGCACTGGCTGTGTCAGGCGCACCCGAATGCGCCCAAGCTGATCAGATGAGGTACGTGTGGTTCTGATGTGCTGTCGCCTGTGTGTTGAGAGCAAGTAAGTTCAGGAACCTGGGGCTTGGATGAACAGTTGGGATGGATTATGTCATCCCATGTTTGGAGTGCCGCCCTTTCATGCCTCCGAGGCCCCAATACCTTACCTTATCGAGTATCCGTACTTGACTTCACCTCTGCGACTCGAAAGAAGGTCCACGAGATCACCATGCATCGCGTCTTATTTCACATCAACTTATCTCATGACCGGCGTTGAATTTCAGTCATTTCGTCTACTTCCTCTGTATTATCGTTCAGTACCCATGTGGGGTATCGTACGTTGCCATAGATGTCTTTCCTTTCTGCTCTCGCAGAGTACATATAATTCGCAGAATCCGTAGCAGCAATAACGACCAAGTCGATCAAACAGCTGACCCGGACTGCTTCAGTCTTGCGAAGTAGCCCTTGATCAGCTTCACCACCGTCTCGGCAATGAACTCAACGTCGCTCCGTGTCACAGTATACGGTGGCGCCACAATGATGTGATCACCTAGAACGCCGTCCATAGTTCCCGCACCAGGGTAAACCACAATGCCGTATTCCTCGGTGCGCCCAAGATCGCTCATCTCCGTTGCCACCTGTGCTTCTCTGGGCCAAGGTTCCTTGCTCACCTTATCCCGCACAAACTCGATGCCCCAAAAAAGTCCCTTGCCGCGGACGTCTCCCACACAAGGCTCGTCCTTGAGGCCCTCTCTCAAGAGCTCCGAAAGTAATTGGCCCATGGCTCGTACGTTGACTAGTAGACCATCCGACTCAATGATACGCTGTACTTCGAGTGCTGCTGCGCATGCAATAGGGTGACCTTGATATGTGTGTCCATGAACGAAGCAACTGTACCGCGTCAGTGTGGCCCTTTCACCATCGGGACACTCCCAGACACCACCTCATGGAACTCACCTGGAGCCCCTCTCCAACACATCAGCTACTCCCTTGTTGACTAGGACGCCGGCAATCGGCTGGTAACCCCCGGCTAGGCCCTTGCCAATAGTCTGGATAGCGGGTACTACCCCTTCACCCTCCCAAGCATAAGAGTCCCAGAGCGGCCCATGCCGCTCATGACCTCATCCATAATAAGTAGGGCGCCATGTCGATCGCAAACTGCCTTAACAGCTTGGAAATAGCCGCTCACTGATGGGACACAGCCCAGAGCCTATGCAGAAATGTCAGTCGACCTCATCATGACTGACGCTACATTGCGCTTCTTTGGCGGATCGTCTTACGGCCCCAACAACTGGTTCTGCTACAAAAGCGCACACGTTCCCGGGTCCTACCCGGGTAAACTCATCGTCGAGCTCCTGGGCGAGACGGGCCACATATGAGTCATCTGATTCCTCAGGCGCTTTGCCTCTGTACTCGTAACATGGAGACACATGAGAAACGATATTGTCGAGGAGCATTGGCGTAAATTTGGCTCGACGAGAAACGTGACCACCCATAGAGAGTGCGCCGAGAGTTGTTCCATGGTAAGACCTTTCTCGAGCAATGAACAGATGCCTCTGCGGTTCTGGTGTATCCTTCTCTAGGAAGAATTGCCTTGCAAGCTTCATCGCTGCCTCCATAGCCTCAGACCCTGACATGATTAGCAATCAATCGGTACTGACGGAGTTGATACAACATACCACTGCTGACTAGATAGGCTCGTGACATCCGACCGCCGGTCGAATCGACGAGGAATTGGCAAAGTTTCTCGCAGGTGGGGGTTGTGAAGAATGTCGAAGGGCTATATGCGATGCTGTTGATCTGCCTCACCATAGCGTCTGCCACTCTCTTGTCACCATGACCGATACAAGCGACGGCAGCGCCTCCAGAAGCGTCAAAGAGTTTCCTGCCGCCTTCTACAACATAGTGGTGACCTTCACCGCCAACGATGCGTGCAAACTGACCCCGTAGATCTCGATGGAGCACTGGTGAGTGGCTCGCATCAGTGAACTCTACGGTATCCAGGGGTTTGAGAACCATTGTGGGTGAGGCACGATATACGTTGAGGCACGGCGTATTGGTAGGGGTCCGTAAGCAAGGTCTGGATGATAAAGGGAATAGAGCGGTGTAAGCAGAAGACAACACAGGTAGGCCAACGTTCGCGTCGAGCCTTTAATACTGTTCACCTCCCATCTCACGAAGCTCTTCCTCACAGTTGCTTCTATATCTGCAATTAATAATGTGTAAGATATCGGCAAGCCGAACCTAGGATTGAGTCCGCCTTTCTGCACTAGGGTCCGAGGTAGCGTACCAAGACCCGTCGTAGGAGGAGGGGGACGCATTGGCGCATCCACCGTGGTGTGGAGAGGGGGCGTGGACATGGAGAATAGAGTTCGGAGTAGGTGAGCGATACAACTTGGAGAACCATGACGGAAGCCTTCCACCGAGGAGAATACCCCCGGCCAAGCGAGCCGTGATAGCTTGATCTGTCCCCGGTCGTGAGCATGGTGCTCCGCCCCCGTCGAGACGGAGGCACACCATCGGCTTACCCAACGGTGCTCTCTCTCGATGCGCCCTGCCGCTCCTGTACGAAAACGGATAGCCGCGGACCGGCATGCATCAGATGACGCTTCTGGTACCAGCCTAGCACTTCATATAGAATAGAAGATGCAAGAAGATCTCCTTGTGAACCAGTTCAACGGCGCTCTGAATATTTTCACCCATCGATAAGCCTATGGGTTTCCCAGTGTCTTCGCAAGCTGCGAGTATCCGTTGAGAGAGACTGGACCCACGAAGGTGGAGCAGCTAACAGTCAAAGTGTCGGATCATTCCGATGTCGTGTCACCCTTCATCGGGATGCCGACATACTTTCGGGCCGGTCATTTCGGTGTCACTATCCCGTTCCCAAGATTAGTTAGTATGGGGCCATAGACGCTCCCGTCGCGAGAAATTTCCTCCCGCCGTAAGTGTGTACAGGTAGCTGACAACTGTACGGGCGTCGTTGCATTGTGAACTTCACGTACGAGGTAAGCGCATCGGCGGTATCTTTACACCCTCGTCTCACCCAACGATGCCCGGCCCCCTTGGACTTTTATTCTCGCACTCTACCCCTGTATGCATACAGAGCCGGCCGAGAGCGACAAGGGTTGGCGGATGTGACTCGTCACTAGTGAGATAAAGCCCGAACTTGAGCCCAACAATGGAGGAAGAGATCCTTTACAGAGGCGACCGACTGGGCTTGGAAGTTGCAACCCATGTTGGCAAAGCATCGCGCGCTATCCGCCTGGTGCCGTCTTCGGCGATGAACAGCTCTGCAAGGTACAAGACACCTCTCTTGTCCTGTTGTTGCCGATCGGCTATAAATGGACACGTGCTTGCCGGAGGTTAGAGAACCTGAGAGTCTCAAGGAGTTCCATCATTCGTACGCTCAGTCGATAGAGTGAAATTGAGTTCATGAGCTTGACGTCCACCAAGCAGATGGCCAACGTTTGACAGCAGACGTTGTATTAAACAATGTTGACATAAGTGGGCACTAGAGATTCTGCTTCGTATCTGCACGAAGCCTGTGGGAGCCTGACTTGCCAGGGCGGCCCAGACTGTCGGGTCCTGGGTACGTGGCTGAGATTATTTGGTAGGCAGGTCTGTGATTATTCTACGATTCGGCGGGTGTCCCGTCAGTCGGCCGTCATTGAAAATGGCAAGTCCAATCCTTTAACAAGGACAGATACTTTTGCTCGGCGAAGGACATCGTCGAGGTAACGTGTCATGCGCAAGGAAGGCACAGCATTGATACGGGTGTTATCGGCCTCCCGTGGACAGGGTAGGTAAGAAGCCGAGATATTCTAGGCATCTGGAGTGGTCCGAAATGTGTAAAGCGTAAGATGCGAAGGGTGAGCTGATATCGTCATGGCGGTAGCGGCAGCTCAGTTGCCAGGATGATCGCCCGCAAGAGGTCTGAGTCGAGTAACCACGGGACGATGTTGGCGTGTCGGAAACAGGGTAGTTTGGCCGTGGCTGGGAAACAACTCCTCTTGCTGTGATGGTGCCGCAATGGAGAGCTGCATTTTGGGGCCAACCGTCGTGGGAAGACGGCCACATTCTCGAAGTCTGAAGCAACGCGGGGTTAGGACAAAGCTGTGATTACCTACTTCTGAAGTTCTGTCCAAATGCAATCCGAGCGCGCGACGGATCATTCTCGGCTTATCTTCAACGATAGGATTGATTCATCGGTCAATCCCTGGCCGGGGTTGGGGCTGATTTCAGGTGGTGACAGTCTGCGTTGAAGTGTTTGACGGTTCAAGGTTGATAGGTAAGGAATTGGGGAACCTGGTACTCCGTACGGTATTAGCCAATAATTGTTGGAGAGTGGGCATCAGCCACATGCCTCCAGGGGCAAGCCACGGTTGCCTTGCCAAACCAAAACCACTTTACGCGTCCCACCTTGGGGCGCGTCGCTTCGCGTTTTTGGATGGCATTTGGTCCCCTCCTTTTTTTCCTTGTCACTCACACTCTCTGCGGCCGATTACATTTCCCCTCCCCCCCTCGACACTCCAGTATTGACGCTTTTGCCGCCTCCCTTGTACCTCATGTTGTCAGTTACTTTTGCAAACCTACACCTTTAATACCCTTTTCTCCCAGTTCAGCCAAGTCTCGACTCTGACGACAATTGCCGCCATGGATTCCTTCATGCTGCAAGATGCGGCCGCCTTGGACCGCGTGCGCGCAGCACAGGAGTTCCTCGATCCCCGTACGTCTGCTTTCGTATCCCCGTACGGGTCTTTGCGCCTCTGAATGTTGCACACTGACCTGGTATAACCACAGAAAATGACTCTCAAGGACGCAGTTACAGATCAGCCATCATCTTGATGTTGCAAAAGCAGCAGAGAAGACTGGTCGTCAACCTCGACCAACTACGTGCCCATAATGCCCAGCTTGCTTCCGGAATTCTTCAAGACCCATTCGACTACAGTCTTGCCTTCAATCATGCCCTGAAACAAATCGTCAAAACACTGCCACAGTCCGGCGATGCGGAAAAGTTGAACGAGATCTCCTACTACTGCGCATGGGCTGGTAGCTTTGGCATGAATGCCTGCAACCCTCGTACACTGTCTTCCCAGCACCTCAACAGCATGGTGTCCCTCGAAGGCATCGTGACGAGATGCTCGCTGATCCGACCCAAGGTTGTCAAGAGTGTGCATTACAATGAGAATAAGGATGTTTTCCACTTCCGGGAGTACCAAGACCAGACTATGACCAACGGAGTCACCACATCGAGCGCCTACCCGCAAGAGGACGACGAAGGCAACCCGCTTACTACCGAGTACGGCTTCAGCACGTATAGAGATCACCAGACCGTTTCTATTCAGGAGATGCCCGAGCGTGCCCCGGCCGGTCAGCTGCCCCGTGGCGTTGATGTGATTCTCGACGACGACCTCGTCGATAAGGTCAAGCCTGGCGACCGCGTGCAACTCGTCGGTATCTACAGAACCCTCGGAAACAGAAACACAAATCATAACAGCGCCTTGTTCAAGACTGTCATCATCGCCAATCACATTCTTCTCCTGTCATCGAAATCGGGCGGTGGTGTCGCCACTGCCACTATAACCGACACGGATATTCGAAACATCAACAAAGTAGCAAAGAAGAAGAATCTTCTCGACCTTCTTTCCCAGTCACTCGCGCCCAGTATTTATGGCCACGCATACATCAAGAAGGCAATTCTTCTGATGTTGCTCGGTGGCATGGAGAAGAACTTGGAGAATGGCACCCATTTGAGAGGTGATATCAACATCCTCATGGTGGGAGATCCCTCTACAGCCAAGTCCCAGCTTCTTCGATTCGTGCTCAACACGGCGCCACTAGCAATTGCTACCACTGGTCGAGGTTCATCGGGTGTTGGTCTGACAGCTGCAGTGACTTCGGACAAGGAGACGGGTGAACGGAGACTAGAAGCCGGAGCTATGGTCATGGCTGATCGTGGCGTGGTATGCATTGACGAGTTCGACAAAATGTCCGACATTGACCGTGTTGCAATTCACGAAGTCATGGAACAGCAAACCGTCACGATTGCCAAGGCTGGAATCCACACTTCGCTCAACGCCAGGTGCAGCGTTGTTGCAGCTGCTAACCCCATTTTTGGCCAATATGACACCCATAAGGACCCTCACAAGAACATCGCCCTACCAGACTCCCTCCTGTCTCGTTTCGATCTGTTATTCGTCGTTACCGATGATATCGAGGATACCCGGGACCGGCAGGTGTCGGAGCACGTTTTGCGCATGCACCGTTACCGTCAACCCGGGACAGAAGAGGGTGCGCCGGTGCGTGAGAACGCTGGCCAAGCCCTCGGCGTTGCCATCAACAATCAAGCCGATACCCAACGCCCGACCGATGTGTACGAGAAGTTCGATGCGATGCTACACGCTGGTGTCACTCTTACCACTGGACGCGGCGCGAACAAAAAGCCCGAGGTGCTCAGCATTCCTTTCATGAAGAAATACATTCAATATGCCAAGACCAGAATTCGGCCTGTCTTGACTCAGGCCGCATCGGATCGCATTTCTGACATCTATGTTGGCCTCAGAAACGATGAGATGGAGGGTAACCAGCGCAGAACCAGTCCTCTGACCGTCCGTACTTTGGAAACTCTGATTCGTTTGGCGACCGCCCACGCCAAGTCCCGACTATCTAATCGAGTAGACGAGCGCGATGCCCTTGCGGCCGAAGCAATTCTTCGTTTTGCTCTGTTCAAGGAGGTGGTCGAGGACGAGTCAAGAAAGAAACGAAGGAAAACCCAGACTACCGAGTTTGCGTCATCAAGCGAGGAAAGCTCATCCGATGATGATGGCGATGATGGAAACTTCAAGAAGACGACAACACGGACACCCGTCCCGAGATCCTCGCGATCGACACGAGGCGTGACCCGGCCTCAGCGAGCCGCTGCTGGTGCCAGCAGCGCCAACGAAGATGCCCCTGAAAGCGACGCGGATACCCCTGCTGAGCCTGATGTAGGGGAAGACGCAGGAGAGGATATCTACGAGGCGACGCCACGGAGATCCCGTCGTCGCGGTGATGGCACGGCTTCTTCAAGTGCGGCACCCCAAACGCAAACATCGTTTGCTTCATCCATGCCTGCTTCTCAGCTGCCTTCTCAGTCGCAAGACACTGGCAAGGATGATGACGAGCTGGCATCGGGAGCAGCTGGCCTCGCCATTGCTGACGAACCCATCAGTCCCCAGCGGCTGACTGTCTTCAGAAGCGCCCTTGGCCAGCTACTCAACTCAGCCCTGTTCGACGACGACTCTGCCAATGTCAATGCTGTTCTTGAAGCCGTGAACACCAAGTTGCAGTCACGTAGCGGTAGTGCCTTCAGCAAGGAGGAGGCCGTCAAAGCTCTTAAGAAAATGGATGAAGCCAACCAGATCATGTAAGTTCCCTCACCTGATTTCTCATCTTCCGTTCTCACATGACTAACCGAGAAATAGGTACACCGACGGAGAGCTTGTCTACAAGATTTAAGGTTTGGTGGCATGATGTGGGATTGTTTGTGATATGACATCTGGCGTTGGTGTTATGACGGGAAGGCGTCGTCCCTAAGAGACCTTGCCTTGTAACGAATAGAAAATCAACTGTCTTGGTTCTTGCGCATTGGTCCGTAAGGTGTCAGATCTAACGAGTCGCACTTGACATAAATCTTTTGCCATTATTCGTCTACCTGGTTCTATGTTTATCATCACAGATGTAGCGTTTTCCGTGAACTTTACTGCGTTGCTTGAAGACGGGCTCGGAACTCCGCAACCCGGTCCTCTACCCTTTCGCCGTTCCATGTCTCCTCGCCGTCCTCATTTTTGGCTAAAGTTGGTACGCCAACTTGCTCAATAGCGAAGCTGGCAGCTACACTGCCCCATACTGCAGCTTCCTCGACGCTCTTACCCCTTGCAAGAGCAACAGCGAGCCCGCCCAGAAAGGTATTGCCGCCACCTGTTGGATCTACCACTCTCGCGCTGTCTGTGTGAACGGCCGGGATCCACTGTTCGGTACCAGAGTCTACCTCGATCTCCTCGCGAACAACAGCACCTTCGTCGTCTTGAAGTAGACCGGCGAAGAGTGCTTCCATGTCGGTGTCCGGCTGAAGGCCGCCCCTCGTATAATCCTTCTTGCGACGCTTTGGGCCTGCCCCGTCGCCAGTAGCGGGATGGCGTTTGCGGCCGCCGTTGCGAGCAACGTAGCAGCCCTTTTCCCCGGCGCGGATAACGAGCGTGAAAGACGATAAAGGCATGCTTGCGAGAAGTTGCTCGCAAGATCTCTCTACCGCCGCTTTCGAGATCTCTCCCGTAATTGGGTCCAGGCCGTCGTCACCCATGAACCCCGCCAGCTCCGAGTGATTTGGACTGAGGATGTCAATCAGGGGAAGGCAATTTGTACAGTTGAGAAGTTCATCCGGTGTACATAGGTCAGGTACGGGTTCCCAGATGAATATTGGTTTTATGTACGAATCGGGCGGGCACACGCGTTTGCGGGCTGAGGTGATTTCGGATACCAAGTCTCTGCACCTGGCCGGGGAGCAGATTAAGTGGAAGGTCTTGGAAAGTAACAGATGAGGCGTCAGGTCTCCTGCAGTGAGACGCTTCTTAGGGGTGGTGTACTTGAAGGCGCGCTTCTCTGCGTTCTCGTATCCGTTCCATCCGCGAGTGGTAAGCCGCTCTGGGTCCTCGCGGAACACGACTGATGTTTCCCAGCTGTCGATGAGTTTGGTCAAGGATTGCGGAAAGTCGGAACCCTTGTCGACGATCCAACCGACCGATGAGGCATCCGGGGTCGGCGAGAAGAGACGGGCTCCGAGAGCACCGTATGAGCCGGCACCGCCGAGAATATCATAGACGGATGGCGTAGGTGGCAAGAAGTGTATCTCGTCTAGTCACCGTCAGCTGGGAATCATGCAGTGAGGGGGGGCAGCGGGCTGATGTTGAACTCGTAGAGACGGGACATCAGTGGAGATGGGTTTCTGACTCACCTATGATGAACATTCCCAACGTCACAAAATCAATGGCAGGTAATGCCTTGAATTCTTCGTCAGTGAGACGCTGCTCCTTCGGCGACTGTGACTCTTCTTCGGCCATGGTCAAAGGTGAAAAGGATTATTGGAATGACGGATCAATGTCAGATATGCAAGGAGTGGCGTGAAGATTCAGACTGTACGGAGTATGAAGTGAGATATATTCCGTTAGCGGAAATGCTGTGCTCCGTGACAGTGGTCACTATTGTGAGGAGGTAACAACTAGACAACTGAGTAGTATCTTTGCAACCAGCCGAAATACCGTAGTAGGAGAGGTCAATTTGAGTGTGATTTTGGGAAGTGAAGGGCTTTTTGAAACTAGGTTACACCCACTTTGCTGTGTGCTATGGGTTATTGGTCGCATCACTATCGGCGAGAATGCACAATGCAAGCACGGACGAAGCGAGGTGGCTCTGACAGGCCGATATGTGCTTTCGGAGAGGTGAGGTGCGGTGAGAGGGCACCTCCCTCATGAGACTTTGCGGGCGATACAGGTTGGGTTGATAAACAGGCCCGAATTTATGGCTGTTAAGGAAATTGGAGACGCAAAACGAATTGTGGAATTGTAGCTCGAGTGAACCTCAAGATCAACAACAAACAGTTGAGTAGCAGCGCCATCCATCTTCTCTTCTAATTTACCCCACCCTCTCTAAGCAGATGCTATTTTCGACCCATACACTAGAGACCGCCGTCTTCTACCTTATGGGCGGTTGGTACCTGAGATGATCTCATGTGAAATCCTGCAGATAAGGCAGCAGACATAACCACACGTTAGACCGGCAGGTGGCAAGGTGCCCGTGGTAGAAAGGGAGAAAGCTTCTAGAAGCTTATCTTACCTCACTCAATTCACTTGAGCCAAGAGGGGCAGCCCATTATGGGCCCGGATTCCGGTCTCGGCACACATGGTGTGACTGACAGCCAAATAGCGCTGCAAGTTGTAATCGGGCACATACAGAAGTTGCAAGGTGACAAGATGAGCTCTTTATGAAATTGGCTAGTCGGTCCAAGTCCATTGCAAGACCTTTCCGAGGTTGAGGCGAGGCGAGGTGAGCAATACAAGGGCCTCACCTCCAGCTTTACATGTGTAGCTGCCCACACATGCTGCCTTGGCTTGACGATGTACTGAGCAAGCTGTTCGTGATTTAAGTGACACTTTCTGTCGCCGAACGACTTTGCTCAACTATCGTCGTCAACAGCCGCTTCTTGGTTGCGTATCTACGGACAAAGTGTTGATTTTGGCGACAGCCTACAGAGTATACGTAAGCCGGAGTACGTTTACTGAGCAAGCTGCTTCTGAATCAAACGGCCTTTTCAGAGTTGCCTAGCATGCTGACACCGTCATCTCATCGTATGCAAGTGCAGATTGCACTGAGTGAGCGAGACTGGGCAGATGAACGAGAGTAATCCCATGCGCAGGAGATGTAGGATCGATCTTGGGCTTCAGCAGACACCTAAGCTTGGTTCAGGGGGTGAATTTTCCCCAAATTAGAGGTTGCTCTGTGAGATATCTTGCGCAAGCTTGGGTAGCCGTGGTAGCCAAGCTTAACAGACCTAGGAATAGGTGGATAGGCTTGGGGCCGGGTGCCTGGAAAGAGGTAGGAAATGCCTTAGGCAAAGGACTCAAGGCATCTAGAATGCGCAAGGCATCCATCCGTCCATCAGCTACCTTACCTTACCTGAGGTACCTGAGGTACCTTGTCCTGGGACCCCAAGCACAATCAGTTAGGTGTAAGGTACTCCGTACCTGAGCTTCCTTAAGAGGAACAGTGTCTCTAGAACAAAGATACGTACTGCCGCGTCTGCCCCCCCCCCCATCTGGCATGACATTGGATGCTTGCGATAATACCCATCCAAAACACCTCTTCCGCCAACCTCGTAGCTCTCTGCTCATTTATAACATCTTCAGCGGCAGCCGACCCATTGCTCTTTGCCAGGTGCATTTCGCCCATCCCAGCAGCTCCGCACTAGCTGAAACTTCACGCCCAATCTTTTGGCTCTCCCCCAATCAACCTTGCAATAGTGGCTTTGCCGTGTTGAGCTGTTTCGACAGACATCCTGCACGAAGCTTCGGTTGCATTGAGCTCACTACGCGTTGCAACAGCCCATCCTGCTATTGCCCTCGCTGTCATTGTCGGTATTGTTCTTGCCATTGCATATCCACCGCGTCTCCCGCTATCGATCTCCATTCTCTGACGCCCTTCGTCACACCGTCTCTGTCCGTCAGTGCTTACCCCCGGCCCATCGCCGCCGTCCTATAACCTCTCCTGTCGACCTTCTCCTTGCACCAAGCTTCGGCTCCCCTCCTCCGCCCAACATGGCAACGAACAACATGCATAACCTCACCACCCTCATCAAGCGGTACGTCGACCGAAATTCCACCAGCCCGGACTGCTCTGCATCCAGTTCTACGGCAACATTGACGGGCTTCACCTCGCTGTTGCTCCTATTCTGGGCCCACTGTCAGCGCACATCGCAGCTAACCTCGAAACAAGGCTCGAAGCTGCCACGGCTAGGCTCGAAGATATCGCCACCTCTACCATCGAGCTTCCCCAAGCCGTTCCCGCCCTAAATCAATCCGTCGCCTCGCCGCCTGCTGCTTCCAATGCCCCCGCCCCTCCCCCGCCGCCGCAAGCCGCACCCGCCCCCCAAGCTCCCCCGGAGCCAGTTCCAGAGTCCATTGAGGAGTTCGATCAATTCATTGCCACATCGGTCGAGAAATATGTCAAAACCAGTCAGCAACTCGGAGGCCTTGTTGCTGACCAGGTCAGTCATTTAAATACATTTGCGAATCATCAGTTATTTGGATGTTGACCAGGGTCTCCGTAGGCTGCCAAAGTTCTGCAAGGTTTCCAAGCCCAGCGCAACTTCCTGCTCATCACCACGAAGGCCAAGAAGCCTGACTTGAATGGCGCCGAAATGGCTGTCTACCAGGACCTCCTCAAGCCCATCAATGAAGCTCTTGTAGCTGTCAACAATATCAAAGAGTCCAACCGAGGTTCGCCAGTTTTCACCCAGCTGAGCGCTGTTGCTGAGGGCATCATGGTTCTCGCCTGGGTCACTGTCGACAACCGTCCTTTCAAACATGTCGAAGATTCGTTGGGTTCTGCCCAATTCTTTGGTAACAGGGTGTTGAAGGAACAAAAGGATAAGTGTGTCTGCGTCATTGACCCGATGTGATATTGAGGGACCCATGGCTAATGTGGTATGCCATAGGGATGCGCAGCAAACCGAATGGGTGAACGCCTTTTACCAAGTCTTCCGTGACCTTGCCGACTACGTCAAGCAAAACTTCGCCAGCGGCATCCCCTGGAACCCGAAGGGTCAGCCAGCTCAGGAGGTTGCTAAATCGTTGTCCGCATCTGCAGCTTCTGCCGCTGCTCCTCCTCCGCCACCCCCGGCCGGCGGTCTTCCGCCTCCACCCCCGCCTCCCGGGCCTCCCCCAGTTCTGGATATCAAGGAAGAAACCCCCGGTGGCAAAGGTGGACTGGGCGCCGTGTTCTCCGAACTAAACAAGGGCGAGGCTGTGACGAAGGGTCTTCGCAAGGTCGACAGATCGGAAATGACGCACAAGAACCCGTCCCTTCGTACAAGCTCGAAAGTTGATGGAGAGGCATCAGCACGCGGCAAGAGCCCAGCTCCTGGCAAGAAGCCTAAGCCAGAGAGCATGCGCGTCAAGAAACCGCCAAAGAAGGTGCTTGAGGGCAACAAGTGGACTATCGTATGAAACCCCCCTATTATTATGTTTTGAATGGTATGTCACAGATGGCTAACTTTTATTCAAATTTGCAGGAAAACTTTGAGAAGGAGCCTCAGCCCATTGAAATCGAGGCGTCCATTTCGCACTCCATCCTGATCAGCAAGTGCAGCAACACTACCATTATTGTGAAGGGCAAAGCAAATGCTGTGACCATTGAGAACTCAACTCGTCTGTCGTTGATTGTGGAGTCCCTTGTGTCTACTGTGGACGTCATCAAATCCCAGAACTTTGCATTGCAGGTCATGGGTGCTGTGCCTGCTGTCTTGATGGACTCAATTGACGGCGCTCAAGTCTACTTCAGCAAGGAGAGCACGGACACCAAGATTTTCTCGAGCAAGTCTTCAGGCATCAACCTCAACGTTATCTCGGGAGAGGACGAGGACTACGTGGAAGTACCACTTCCATCGCAAATTTGCTCCTACTATGATGAGAGCAAGGGCGAACTCGTCAACGAGATTGTCTCTCACTCAGGTTAAGATGATCAGTTTCAGCTGCAGATAAGGAAGGGGGATTAGACTGGGAAGAGCCAGAGTTGGGTCGATTTGTAGGAGTAAACATGGCGGCGGCATCTTTTGTTCTCCACCTCACATAGCCTGCTTCAATTTGGAACTGTTCGGTTTCGACTTGCCTATTCCAATCATGCTACATTTACACATATTGCCCTGTAATCTTCATACCCGCATCTTCGATAGAGGCAATAGAGAGTTGTCGAAATGATGTGTCTGATACTACCACTCGAGCAATGGGGAGATGCAGTGTACATTGGCCCAGAATGAGAAGACTGCGAAGGGGGAAATTTTTCAATATGATCGCGGTGGTGCCGACACCACCGGTCACGTCTATCAGGTTGCCAGAGACGCTTCTGCTGTATCGGTGCAAAGAACGACCGGTCATCTACATGTAACCATATATGAACACACATACACACCCTCACATAATTGACGAAGCGCCGGAGCGCCCTTGGGATACTGGTCGACTTCTCTTCTCTCGCCCATGTCGCCAACGACAACTCCTCTCTCATCCCCTCTCTTACAAAGGATTTCTATCACCGTTTACAGCTTAGCCTTGGCGGGCTTAATGGTAGGGATGAGCAGGTCGCGCATCTCGCCGGCGGCCTCGTTGAGGAAGAAGCTCATGCGCTGACTGCCCAAGCCCTTGGACACAACGTTGAAGTTAATGCTACGCAGAGGTTAGCTTGTTTCTTAGATTGTTGAGGGGACTACACTGCAGCAGACGACAGCACATAAATCACGCACCTGTTCTCGTTGATCATGTAGGCAATTCCGAACCCGCCGTCAATGACCTGACTCCATCCGTATCCGTTGAAGTACTCTGAGCTAAGCTGTGATGAGGACAGGTACCACGAGGAGGAGTAGGAGAAAGCCGGGTCCTGGTAGATGGCAGGCAACTCCTGGCCGGGCTCGAGCAGCCTCTTCAGACCGAACAGGTGTCTGTCGACACCCTTACCGTCTGAGGCGGCAGTGATGTACTCGAGGTGGGAGTCAATGGCCTGGCGGAAGAGGTCGACCTTGGCCTTGTCCTCGATGTTGGGGTCGGCCATGGCGTTGCACCACGAGACGGAGGCGTCTGACACGGTTCTACATGTTTCGGTACGGCCTTGCTGGAAGCGGCGGGTGGCGGCTGACTCGTATGTAGGCCGGTTCTTGCCGTACATCTTATGGTATGCCAACTGGATGATCATCTGAACGTAGGCATCGGGCGAGCACTTGAACTTCTTGATGAGTCCCTTGCCGTACCCCTGATACGCCTGAACGGCCAGCTCGTGTTGGCTAATGACATCATGGAAATCTTTTCTGGCGCGGTCGATCTCGGCCTGTACTTCCTTGGTAATCTCGAACTTGACGACCTGGGGCTCG